AATAACATCCGAATCCTTCATAGACCAAAGAACTCACGGTGGAAAAAGCGTAATTTGAGGCAATTAAACAATAACATCCGAATCCTTCATATATCAAATAACTCACGGTGGAAAACGGGTAATTCGAGGCGCACCAGTGACCCCCACTACCTGAAAAGGAAGAAGCAGGTAAAGATAATGGATGGTTGGATGGATGGATGGATCAATCAGCTGATCACCTACCGCGTGCGTCTCCACACATGCTTTCATTTGCAGTGAAGGAAGTAGCAGCATCTACAAAATCCAACGCGAGCAACGCGTTCAGTTAAAATAGCCTTGTTCTATATTTTTCCAAATAATTTTGCTTTAAAAATATTTTTGTTCATCTGTATAACAGCCTATCTTTACAGTTGATTTTTTAGACTATTTGTTTTGTATGTTACTATCCATTTGATGACTTTTTAATAAACATAAATCTTATAGCTTCCTTTCATTACATTTTTAAAACTATCATATCAAATTAATTTACTTACAAAAGCAATAAAAGCTTAATTAAAAAAAAAAACAACGTTTTTTTTTTTGTTTGTTTTGTTTTGTTTTTTTCGCAGTCAGCCCTCTAATTACCAGTAATCCTTTAGGTCCGGGTAGGGCTCGGAAAAAAAAAAATCTACGGGCTTGGTCCAGCCCGGTCCGGGACGGATTTATTAGACCCAAATACAACTCTAATCCAGAGGACCTGACTCAACCTTGTTAGATTTATCTACCTGGATTATTGAGCATGCGTCAGGACATCTTCGCTCTTATGTTTCTATGTGTGTGTTGGATATTTGATTGTGACTTCTAGTGAGGATTATTTAAATTTTTTTTACTGGTGGTTGGTTGCACGGTGTTTTTAAATCCTTACAGGCTGAAGCTGTGCTGCTTGGTTTTGTATTTTTATTAGTGAGGAAGTCTTACTGAGGATCACAGAACAGCGGCGCAGTGGCTCATATAACAAACAGGTTTATTGTCTTTGATCCTTTTCATCAATTTAGCACTGTGTAATGCCTGAGAGTCTCAGGTTTACTCTGGAACTAGTTTGAGCTCAGATCAAGTTTAGTTTTGCTTTGCAGTAGCAAAGATGCTAAAGTGGTGTGCCAATATTTCTGTGATTCCCTCAAATCACCTTTGACACAATCTGAATTAAACATAGCAGAGATGCACAACCATTTAGTAAAACTTGCAGGTAAACTCATGACTTAATGAGCAGTTAATGCACCATTATTACCAAAATTTTAACTATAGATATATTTTCTACTGAGCTTTACCTTTTATAGAAATATTACAGGCAGTTTGTACTTTATCTACAAAATAGATAAAGTAAAGTAAGTAAACATTATTGACTGCTTCTTAAAAAAATAAATACACATTTTCTAATGAATACAGCCTCTTATTTTACTGTTTGATGTATTCATATAATTTGTAATTGAACCTCTTCACTATTTAAATTAAGTTTTCCTCTTCCCAGTTGTTTATCTAGTATGAACCTAATTCGAAGAATTTATAAGTAGGAAACAATAATGATAAACTTTGCCCATTATCACGGGTCATGTTCTTAACCAATTCTAAACCAACTAGTTTCCATAAAAATATGTTTATTATTGCAAATAATTTGCTGAATTTGCTGACAGCCTTTTCCCAAAGACGTTAATATTTATTTGTTTATGATCATGTTTTCTTAGGAGGTTTGGACGGAGTACAGCAGTTACATTGTACGTTTGTCTCAATAGTTTAACAAGGAAGTATTTTGGAGTGGGGATGCTTTCAAACAGATGCTGTAGAATTAATTTAATTGCAGATCAGATACTATTTAAAAGAAAATAAAAGCTCAGCAGTGAATAACAAAACTGTCCACAATGTCTAAACACATTATTCATCACTGTGCGTTGCAGAATTGATCCATAGGCTCCTGAAATTACGTTTTTACTTGTTATATTTGGTAACATAAGCAGTTTAAAGCTGTGGTTGGTTGTTTTTATGTTGTTGTTTTTTAAGTTATTATTATGTTTCAATTGTCCACAGGCTCTCTCCAAAAAATTCTCACCAGAGGCCCACAGTCGTCCTGCTGTGTGGGCCCCACACGCAAGGCGCCCAAGGCATCAGTTGTGGTAGACACCTGGCCAATCATGAAGTGGAAGTTATTTTGTTTCTGCCCAGCTTTTTCAAGATGGAGGATTCAGTCACCAGTGAAGCTCGCCTCTACAGCAGGACGAGTGGTCTGCAAGTGGCTAACGTCAGAGGTAAAACTCATCAGTGTTTTAGTCAGTTACTGTGACGGGAGGTTTTATACTGAACCACAGAGTCTGTACCAGTTGGCAATCACACCGTCACACTGGAGGTAAATGTTGCCCTCTAGTGGACTTTCATTGTTGTACTTGGAAGATCAGACAGATGATTATTTTGGAGAACTTTTGCGCTTTTAGCATTTAAATGTATAGTGGTGTTTGAAAGTTTGTGAAGCCTTTATAATTTTCTATATTTCTGCATAAATTACCTAAAACATCAATATATTTTCACTGAAGTCCTAAAAGTAGATTAAGAGAACCCAGTTAAACAAATGAGACAAAAATATTATACTTGGACATTTATTTATTGAGGAAAATTATCCAGTATTACATATTTGTGAGTGGCCAAAGTATGTGAACCTTTGCGTTCAGTATCTGGCGTGACCCCCCTCCCTCCCCCACTTTCTCCTGTGTAGCAATAACTGCAACTACACAGAACAGCTTCAGCTCTGGGATGTTGGTAGGTTTCTTCACATTAACTGCTCACTTGAGGTCCTTCCACATCTGGATTGGATTCAGGTCAGGACTAATGAACTTTATTCTTCTTGAACCATTCTTTGGTAGAACGACTTGTGTGTTTAGGGTCATTGTCTTGCTGCATGACCCACCTTCTTTTGAGATTCAGTTCATGGACAGATGTTTTGACATTTTCCTTCAGAATTATCTAATATAATTCAGAATTCATTGTTTCATCAATGACAGCAAGCCGTCCTGGCCCAGATGAAGCAAAATAGGCCCCAACCATGATACTACCACCACCATGTTTCACAGATAGGATAAGGTTCTTATGCAGGAATGAAGTTTTGTCCTTTCTCCAAACAATGCTTTTCAATTGTAGCAAAAAGTTCTATTTTGGTCTCATCCGTCCACAAAACATTCTTTCAACAGTCTTCTGGCTTGTCCACGTGATCTTATTAAACTGCAGACGAGCAGCAATGTTCTTTATGGAGAGCAGTGGTGTTCTCCTTCAACCCTGCACACATTGTTGTTCAGAGTTCTCCTGATGGTGGACTCATGAACATCAACATCAGTCAATATGAGAGAGGCCTTCAGTTGGTTAGAAGTCACCATGGGGTCCTTGGTGACTTTGCCACACGCCTTGCTCTTGGAGTGATCTTTGTTGGTCGACCACTCCTGGGGAGAGTAACAATGGTCTTGAATTTCCTCCATTTGTACACAATCTGTCTGACTGTGGATTGGTGGAGTCTAGACTTTTTACAGATGGTTTTGTAACATTTTCCAGCATGATGAGCATCAACAACTCTTATTTCTGAGCTCCTCAGAAATCTCCTTTGTTTGTGCCACAATCCACTTCCACAAACATGTTGTGAAGAGCAGACATTGATAGATCCATGTTCTTTAAATCAAACAGGGTGTTCACTCACACCTGATCATCATCCCATTCATCGAAAACACCTGACTCTAATTTCACCTTCAAATGAAATACTTTTGCCACTCACAAATATGTAATACTGGATCGTTTTCATCAATAAATAAATAAATGACCAAGTATAATATTTCTGTCTCATTTGTTTAACTGGGTTCTTTTCTTTTTATCTACTTTTAGGACTTGTGTGAAAATCTGTTGATGTTTTAGGTCATATTTATGCAGAAATATTGAAAATTCTAAAGGGTTCACACTTAAAAGCACCACTGTAAGAAGCTAAATAAACTTAACATAATCAGAACACAACTTTGTTAAAATAAAATACTTTTTGCCTTCTCTTCCTCTGCACATGTCCCAGAACTACCAGTAAGTCCAGTCGATCTGGTCATCAACTGCCTCAACAGCCATGAGAACCCACTGCTGAGGGAGCAGTCCTGGTACCAGTCAGCTGCTGACTGGGCCAACAGGAATCGAGCTCCAGTCCTAAGTATCGATCCTCCAATCAGTGAACAGCCTCAGACCGTGGAGTCAAAGTGGATCCTGTCTTTAGGTCTTCCTCTACCTCTAGCAGAGAATGAGAGCAGACTCTACCTCTGTGACATTGGCATTCCCAAACTGGTGTACTCAGAAGTTGGCATCAGCTACTACTCACCGTTCGGATGCAAGTTTGTGATCCCTCTGCACCCAGTGTAGGGATTTCCAGTGTTTGTTTATTTTCTGTTAGTGAGTAAAATGAGTTGTATATGTTTAGGAACAGCTATAGGACTGAAACAAGACTTTGTAGCAATTCTTTTAAATGTTTTTGACACATTCCTGATCATCTGACAGGAGAATGAACTGTATGTGAGCGTGGAGCATGGAGTCTTATTTTTGTAAAGAATCTGTTTCTTGTTCTTTCCTACCGTTTGATAACCCCTCGACACTGATGTGATATTTATAAAATGCTGAGCACTGAGTGTATCATTGACCTCAGGCTCCTGTGGTCAGTGAAATCAGCTGAAACAGTATGTTTCCTGTAGATTGCAGCTGTGGCTTCACGCACAGCTCAGTTTACAAGTGTGTGCTGATGCAACAACCACACCTTTATTGTGATGCTTCAGTCATTTCATTTGAAGGCATGATCCTCTCAAAAAGGTGCTTTTTGTCAAGTACTGTAATGGCTGTAGCACTAAGTATTTATGTATTGACGTATTTTTATTTATTTTTAATACTGTGCATCTCAGGAGCAATTCTTTAAAAAAAATTTAACATTTATTTTGACATTATTTGATTGTACTATTTGAGCACAAAAATGAAATATAAAAAGAGAAATCTGATGTTCCTGCTGGATTTACTTGTCTGTGTTTCTGAAGTTCCTCAGATCATGCAAAACTTTTAAGTACACATTCCAGGGATTTAAATATTTTAAGCCAGATGAATTTTTCTAGGATTATGGCTGTTTGAATTTTGAAAAACATAAGGATTACACATTTTTGACACTTCTACGACAGTGCCAACTCTTGTTTTAAGGTTTTATTTTGCGACTGTTAATTGGAGTGGTGGCGCAGAGGTTAGAGAAGATGGGCCTGTGATCAGAAAGTCGCAGGCTCAACTCCCAGTACTGTGAACATCAAAATGTGGGTGGAAAAGGTGATACACCCACGCCTGCCTCCACCCTCACTTGCCCCACTCTGGACCCCTGAGCAAGACCCTTAACCCCCACAATTTGCTCCCAAATAAACGGGTCTCTTGAAAATGAGTTCTCGTGACTCAATGAGACTACCTGTATAAATAACGGGTAAATTAAAAATTGTAAACAAAACAAAGCAAAAACAGCATCGGTTAACGGCTATGTTATGCCCTGGAGTAAATGGCAAAACGCACAACATATGAGGCCCAGATGATTGTCATTTAGACTTAAAGAATTTTAATCACAAAGCACCTGAACACAAATGCAAACTGGAAGCCCCAGTTAAAACAAGCAACAAAAAAAAGGGAGAAACTCAGAACCAGTCAGCAGTTGGCCGTTGGATTTCGGGCCACTCCCCTTGCCATATGATGGGGGGACTAACCCTAGTTTAAGTTGAACAGAGTTTATTCACTTGACAGATATCTGAAGATTATTTGGCCTTGATTTCTTGGAAATTACCTCCAAAAATAATCCATATTAAATCAACTTAACCTGTTGAAGATCCCAGTCAACAGATTGCTTTAAAACCTCTGTATAATAAAGGACAGTGGCTGCAGCCGTTTTGCTTTGTTACTGTGCAAAGACAAAAAAAATATGAACACAGCTGTAATCAGAAAGTGCTATTGTAAAAAATAATAATGAGTTCAAAGGTCTAGCATACCTTGAAAAATGCATTTTACACTCTAACTTTCATCCCAGCGTTTTTATCTATAATCTTAGGTTAAAAAAAGACTGACTTAAAGCCATTTTAGTTAAACCTTGGAAATAAGGTTATGCACAACCTCAATATCTGTAAAACGGACTGAAATATAGCCATTTTTCTGCTTTGTAAGGTTGACTGGCTGTGGTGGCCATCATTTTGGATTGACTCCAAAAGATGATCAATTGTAGATGTAATGTTCATTAAAATCTTCATGAGATGGTTCAGTTACAGGCTCGCAGGTTTGACTTCAGCAGGTACAGCCAAAGTGATAGAGCAAACAGGTCTACAGATGACACTATTGCTTTAGCAGTGCACACCTCCCTCAGCCATCTGAAGCAGGAAAGCACCGTTGTGAGAATGCTCTTTGCTGACTACAGCTAAGCATTCATCACCATTACCCCTCCAAACTGGTCTCCAAGCTCACCACACTGGGCCTGGAAAAGTCAATCTACTGCTGGATACTGGACTTCCTCACCAACAGATCACAGACAGCGAGAATCGGCAGTCACCTCTCCTCTATACTAGTCCTCAGCACAGGTACACCTCAGGGCTGTGTCCTCAGTCCACTCTTGTACTATCTATTTACACATGACTGTACCACCAGGGCCAGGCACAGCTTACATGATACAGCCACATAGTACAGCAGCAATAAACATTAGGTGTCACAGATGTGGCTTGGTGCAATGTTATTGTCAATTGGTCAGTATTATTGTTGAGTTCAGAAATCTGACAGTTTGTGGGTAATAATAATTGTTTTTGAGTTTTTTCATGCGTGATGGGAGGCTCCTGTATCGCCTGCCTGAAGGTAGTAGACGGGAAAGTCCTTGTGTGGATGTGGTCCTTAATGATGCTGCATGCTTTACGCAGACATCGGCTGTGGTAGATGACCTGGACTGCTACCAGTGATGTCCTCTGCTGTTTGCACCACCCTCTGTAATGTGTTCTGTCTCTGATTGGTGCAGTTCCCACACCATTCTGTGATGCAGCCTGTCAGCAGGCTCTCTATTAATGAGGATGCTGGTGTTAGTACCAAACTTCTTTAGTCTTCTTAAGAAGTAGAGTCTTTTTTGGGCTTTCTTGACCACAGTATCTGTATGTAATGTCCAGAACAAATCCTTAGTACTGTGAACGCTGAGGAACTTGAAGCTGCTGACTTGCCCCACTTCAGCGTTGTTTATGAAGAAGGTGGAGTGCTGGCCTCCACACTGCTTCCTGAAGTCCACTATCATCGCCTTTGTTTTGCTGACATTTGCTGACTGAGTTTGTTGTGGCTCCTTGGACTGATGAACTTTTGGATGAAAGATGAAACGTTTTAACAAAAAGAAACCATGAACAGGACCTGACTTAACTTTGTTACAAGGAAGGATAGCTTCAACAGGTGTTTAAAAAAAGAATCCAATTTCCCAGATTGAGGTTGAAAATATTATTTATTGGTTTTGAAAACTTTAAGTATGTTGCAAGACAAACTGAGCATCAACAAAGTTGGTCACAAAAGGGATAATACCCAAGGCTGAACTGAGTTTGTTAATAATAAATAACTGCACGACGTCCACAGTAACTTGCTCAAAAGTTTAAATATGGAAATAAAATAATTATCACTTTTCATATCCCTAAAAAATATAAAATGTATGTAAAACAGGTTGCACCACTTCCTGATAACAGGTTTTTAATCTAAAACAGACTGGTAGTTGATATGTGGTGGAACAAGTCTTCACCTGTTGGCCACGTGGCTGTGCTCCTGTTGGCCACGTGGCTGTGCTCGCGGACTGTTCAGCCTTGTAGCTTTGTATCGCTTTGCGCATGCGCGTCCGGTTAACAGAGCGGAGACCATTTCCTTCCAGTAGCGGGCCTTGTTACAGACACACATAAACATACACATATGCAGTCAGAGTGCAGACAACCGTCAAAGCGAAGCCCCGTTTTGGATTGCCTGATATTACTGCCACAAACACCGGATGCGCCCAACCACAGGTTATCCTAATGGACTTTCATCGCTGATCCATAGCAACATCTGCTCGACACCACGGTGGGATCTTTTGGGTGAGTTGACTGTTTTTGTCTCTGTTGCAGGCAGCAACAGCCCGAGACTCAAAAAGAGTATGCCATTATTGGCTTTTACGCTGTGCGTTTCGGACTCTGGTTTACATTCCCCGACAGCGTTTAAGGGAACTAGAAAGCAGTTATGGCTGTTCGGAGCTAACGATTAACCTGGCTGTGCGTTAGCTTTAGCTGCTAGTTAACGTTCAGTGTAACGCCACGAGATCCATTATCGGACAGCACGGAGCACCGTGGGTTTGACCCTCTCTGACTTATACAGCAGTTCGGTTTAACAAAATAATAAGCCACAGGTACTCAAAACAAATAAATTGTTAGAATTATGTTGGCTTATTCGCCTGTTTTAAATGTAGTTATGACATGGGCGCTTTCGTGGTTGTGCCCCAAATCACCGAGTCCCCCCCCCCCCCCCCCCCCCCCCCCTTTTTTTTCTTCCCTGCTTCCATAGTCGGACAAACTGGTATTACGGTATTTCTGGTTTTGGTGTTTTCCCTTTTCCTCTTCTCCCAATTAACATGGTGTGTGGTTGAGTGTCGTAAAGTCTGGAGGGCTGTATTTAGGGCTGGGTGTGTGTTTTTACGAGATAGTAACGCTGAGTGAAAAGTGGGAAGAACTCTGAAGAGACATGTTACACGCAAATACTGTACTGTTATGTTTTGTTTGTTTGTTTGTTTGTTGTTATCATTTTAGCTCCAAAAGGAGTATGACAAACACGACAGATCAATTCTGTCCGATAAGAGACCCTACAATATATTTTTGTCTTTTGTGACAATGAAGGATTGTGCTGAGTTCCAGCTCTTTCCTTCAATCAAGATTAATCTGCCTCTAGTCACTGACCAGGCTTTTCTGTGGGATGTATCTTTTTGTTGAAAGGCTGGACATGTGTCACATTTGAGAAGGATGCATTTCACGCAGATTGTTGGGGAAACAGAAGCTTCTTGCATTAGCCCTGTTTAATCATTGAAGACACTTCTGTGATCTTGTGTTGACTCATACATTCAAGGTTCTTATCATGTCTTGTTGACTTGATGTCATTCTCATCACATGTGGTACATGAGGTGGAACGAAATTGTGTACCCAGTTACACCCAAAATAGCAACAATATAAACTATTAAAAAAAACTATACAAGGATCTAAGTTATACGCCAAACAATAATAATGTAAAACATTTTTATATACTTTTTATTTTACCAGGAAGAAATCCATTGAGATCATCGATTTCTTTTACAAGGATGTCCTGGACATATCCTATGTATAATATGGTAATAATATAATACAGTATATTAAACAGCAGCCTGAACATGAGTCTGTTGTGAGCGGATGGGTATGAATATAGCAGCTTATGGGTAAGGAGTCAACATTATAGATAATCAGCAGCACGGATAAAGTGACATATCAGCAATTAAAGTGGAATTACTGTGATTTTTCTGGTTAGGAATTTATGAGTCTAAGAGCTTCAGGGTAGAAGCTGTTTGTCATATTTATCCCACAAGAAGGTATTTTAAAATTTTATTTTATTTTTCAGATCTGGGGGTTAACAGCCAGGTTTAATGTAGAAAAATCCATAGTGGAAGTATTGTAGCTCAGTAAGATGCTTACAGACAAATGTTTTATTGATAGATGTGTTTTGTGGGTTCATTGCATACACTGACTGCTGTCAACAAAAACAGTTAAATCGTGTCATCTGGACCAGTTTCTTTAAGTGAGAAACGTTCGTCCCCCATCCAGAGGACTTTGTCAGTCTGCAGCCTGCCAACCAGGTCTGCCCCATAGCGTTCGTTGCTGTGTTTCAAGCCAACCTCCTATTGGAATCTCAGAAGTAGGACTTTAACACATGCAAAACACACCCATCCAAAACGATCAATCATCATGTACAACAATCAAATGTTTTAGGCCAAATGACCAACTTGTTACTCACAGAAACAGCCTGAGGACAACCAAGGCCAAAGTGGTTCAGAAAAAGGTTTGTAAGCTCAATCATCCAGGTAGATAGCAACAACAAAAAAACTGACTGCTGTCCTTCCACCTTTTGCATGGTTTACTGACTCACTTCCTCAAGGTCTGCATTGTTAAAATGTCCATACCTGTGCAAGCCATGGCAAGACTATAACAATGTGTGTGCGTCTCCTTGTGGAGTTCCCATGAAGTTTTGGTGAACACTGTCTGCCGTCTGTTGTTTCTCACCTTATCAGCCCTGATCTTGGCCCTGGGGTTTTCTCAGGGGAAAAAAAAATCTGTCGATTAGTGTATTATCTCAGTGCCTGTCCATGATACCCAGCATGCCAGTGTGTTGTGGTTGCTCAGAAATCAGAATATCACCCAGTGAGATCTTGTCGTCAATTTACATAACTGATAGGCTCAGCAGATATGACCAGTGATTAACTTTTACATCAGAATCTGAACAACAACAGCGGCAAAGGGAGGGTCAGATACCAAAGATAGGGATTTTGTGGGTGCCCTGCATTGTATTCAGTTGACCTTTTTGGCTCTGTGACAATTACATGGCATGCAGCATGTTTAGAAGTGATCCTTAATCATAGTAGAATGAAAACAACAGACAAAATAAATCACTTTTATGAGAGGATACCCTTGTTTTGGCTCCCATGTTGGTGCAGAGTGCCGACTATGAGACTGTCTATTAGAGAAATCTGTTGACTTGTTGAACTGGGTGGGGTGTGGGGGATTGGCATTCATTATCCTCTAAGGAATTTGGATGACCAGACTGCAGCATGTTAGGAATCTGTACACTGTGTCTGTCAGAGCTGAACCGCTGCCTGTATGTTGGTATGCCCAACATGGCACCTAGTGAATCTGTACTGACTACCTTTTAATTATTTTTCTTTTTAAGCAAATGTCTTGGCCATTTTTTTGTCATTTATATTTTTTTAAATGTCATTCTTGAATGTAACTCCACGTCTTAATTTCACATCAGAATGCATGCCTGCTAAAACACTTCTCCTAAAGCAGCAGCAGCTTCACAGATGAACATCTCTTTGTCTGTGACCCTCTTTCATTTCACTGATGGCTGCATAGGATTAGTCCGGTTGAAGTGCAGCTTGAATAAGGGCTTGAGGCGACAGAACGAGTCTGCAGAAATAGCTACACGTTGGCCCAATTTTAATTAGTGATGAGTTCATTTTGTGGGGTTGAAGGGTTGATCCTTAAAGCTGCAAGAAGCTGAGCTGTGTTGCTGTCTCATGTTGGGCTTTGAGCCTGGCTTATGTGCTCAGCAGGCAAGAAACTGCTCCCCTGTCTGTCCACTGACCATCTCATTGCACATTTGAAGCTTGTCCAAGACGGGCATGGCAGTGTTTAGCTTGTTTGTTTGTGTTTTTCCTCCTGACTTAACATAAGTAAATATAATAAAAGATCAGGGGTTTATTGGTGAATCTGCTTTATAGCTTACAGTAAACTGATATGTACTGTATATGTATCTCATCACAGATGATGGACAATCCTGGCAGCTTTTGCAGCATCACTTTGCATAGATGCATTCAGCCTATTATAATTTTCTGAATTGTTTCGCATCTAGAGTTTGTAGCTTTTAAATAACTGTGTTGCTGAGAGCACACACACAGTTCACTGAATCTAAATAGATGCATGAACATTCAGTGATGCATTTTTATTGTAACATGCAAAGAGGCAAATTGTGTCGGAGTCCACTTGTGTAGGAAGGCTGGTAGAAGTGACAGTAGATCTCCGCCTGTCTTGCTTCCTCTTTCAGTCGGTGTAGGTGCATTATTCAGTAGTACTGGCCTTTTTTTTGTTTGGGAGGTGTTTAGCAGGGAAGTGATCAGTAGTGACTGTAAATATCAAACACCACTTCCTGCCTGGTTCATTTCTCTTAAAATGGGACTGGACAACCCACTTGCCATAACTAGTATAATAAAATAAATATGTTTTTATTTTTGTTCTAGACTAATTTAGTTCAGTTTGAATGTTCTTGTTTTGTGTTTGTGTGGCACATCAAATTTGGTTTATAAAATTGCCAGTTTAATAAAACCCATCTCTGTGTTCTCACATTTTTCTCACCCACTTTTTCTCATCTTTTCTTTCTAGCAACAGCTGAGGTCACATAAACCATCCCTTTTACCCATGTCTTTTTTCCTGCTGCCTCGCACAATCGTAGTATTTTTCATAAATCTCATGTAGATTCAGCTCAGTCTTTCTGTCTGGACAGCGGCTGCGGATCTCCTTGACGGCCATGAGGCTCTGACCGCTGCGGCCTCTGACAGTGAGCCATTGAGATGAGATACGAGCCTGACGCATGTCTCAGCCGTTCACCTTCAGGCTTCAGTGGTTTCCTGCTGGAAATCCCTCGACTAAAGGAGGGTGGAAATCTGACATTTCTAGAGACCAGCGTTTCAGACAACTTGACACCTAATTTTCCTGATTGGATGTTTCTGATGAACTTGTGCCAACATTTAAAAGAAGAAAAAGTGGATTTGGTATTAAAAAAAGATAACAGTATTAGCAAGACAGTGTTAACACAACTTTTCCATCTTTTGACTTGTTTTATTTCATTTCCTATTTTTTGTCCTTCAATTTTATTTCTGCAACATATTGCAATAAATAAATAAATAATCTTAAAATAGGGCTGGGCAATATGGACCAAAATTAATATCTCGATATTTTTAAGATAAATCACGATATACGATGTATATCTAAAAACAATGTATTTCCATAAAATAATAAAAATATATTCCAGAGTCAAAGTGATGTCCCAATTGTCACACATGCACATTTATTAGCAAACAGCTATAAATGTACTAAATACATTTCTAAAAAAAATGAACAATTTACATACAGTATATCAAATAATAATTCTCTTCAGCTGCGCCGCCTTCCCGACGTTGGTAAGCATGTGTGAAGCAGCACATGAGGGGCTGTATTTGTATTCAGTGAGGGAGAAAGATGGGCCGCATGAAGTTGAGCACAGATGGGAGCAAAAGAACCACAGATTTTCAAGTCTAATAATACTCGAT